CCATGTTAGCCAGCAGCGGAAGTATCTCTATCTTTAAGAAATCCAATGCTACAGCTGACCTTTCATTTGTAGAACATGTCTTAGGTATCCTGCCATATGCAAAGATTTTGAGTGCAGAACCCCAGCTGAATTTATCTTAGTAACTCCAGATAACTGACACAGGCCTTTGCAAATCGTTGATAAATTGAATTGCTGTAGGACAAGCAGGTGAAATTTTCACAAAGGGATATTTTTTGCCTTATGCGAGAAAGAAGTATCTGATAGTTTAGTAATGAAAACTTTGAAAAGACATAGTGATCTTTACATTATGAGAAGCATGCAAGCAGAGTGCAGATACTCATTTGCTATGAATCAGCATTTCTGTATTATCTAGAAAAAGTCTCAGTCGCCTCAGTTTTGTGCCGATTTTTCTTTAACATTTCTCAATCTTATTCTTTGCCAAATGTGAGCTATTATAAAAAGAATTAGTAAGGCCTCTCTAGATTAATTATTACTTAATTATGAATGACTCTCTCTGTCTAGATTAATTATAAAAAGACTATTCTCCTCAAAACTTTTCTACAACTATACTTCCTACATCAGATAATCTCAGGTAACAAGGAAGCCTAGACACTGTTATCCCCAGTTGGCTGATTGGGAAACAGAAATGCATGGTGGTTTAGAGGACTTGTTTTAAGTCACACAGTCAACTACAGAACCAAGCCAAGAACAGAGGTCAGGTCCCTAGACGCATGACAGCATCCTTTTCCTTTGGCTATGCTGCCTCATGATACGACAGGAGGTTTAAAAAGTTCAATTATACTTTTTTTTTTTTTTTTTAACATGAGTTTTAGAAAGGAGGCAGGAACAAAGATAGCAGAGCAACTGTAGGATGCAGATAACATGGCATGCGTTTCTACCATGGAAAGTAAGACTGAAATTGGAGGTGTTCTACAGCAGAGGTTAAACAATAAGAAAATGGAGTAGGGATCCCCAAGGCCCTGCTGATCTGAAGAATCCAGGTAAGCATTGAATTAAATCAGATAAGCAAGGGTTCAGGTGAGCCAGACAATTTTCAAAGTAAATAAAACACATCCAGTAATACAACCTTATTTCAGGTAACAGAGTTTCTGGATAAAGGAGTTTCAGATAATCAGGGCTTTACAGTATAAACAAACACAGAGAACACTGGACATGGGAGGAACCAATTGAGGAGTTTCAAGTAACGAGGAAGCCTGGTATCTATATCTGCATTCTGTGTGACTTCAAATTATTAAATTTCAAAAATTCAGCCAGGTAGGATGGTAAACAGGATAGAAAATGCAGGGTAATCATCTAGCCCACATCATTAAGTAAGAAAATGTGTTGTGATTTATGAATGTGAAGGAAGGCAGGACAGACACTCTAGCCTGGATGGCAGAATGAGACCCTGTCTCAAAAAAAAAAAAAAAAGAAAAGAAAAGAAAAAAGAAAAATTAAAACAACAACAAAAAAGAATTCAAGGGTGAAACAAGTGTGGATCATTGACTGGGAATATTCAGACTTGCTTGAGAACAATGGGCTATTGTTGAAGGAGGCTACCACCTCCTCCTTTTTCCTCCTCCTCCTCCTTGTCCCCCACACTCTCTCTTCTATCTCCAAGATCCTAAGCCTTCTCACCAACAAGCTGTGAAACCCAGGGCTTGATACCCAGTAGAATAGAGACAGGGCTCTGGAAGTGGGGAGCAAAGGGGATAAAATGATCCAAAAGTCATGGAGAAGAAGGAGAAGTAGAGGTGGTCCATTCAAGAAGAGAAAGGGGTGACTTTTTAGCGAAACCACAAAGAGTAAGGTAGTGGTTGGGGCAGAGGCTCTATTTCTGACTTCTGTAATATGGTTATTTCTCCCATGGGTTGAAGGCAGCAGGAACTATGAGATAATTTTTATGAGAAATGTATTCCCCTTTTTATTGCCTTTCTATATTCTGAATAAGTCTAGAGAGAGCCTCAGTTTGGTGCCAATTTTCCTTTAACACCTCTCAACATTTCCTCATCTCCTCCACCCTCTTTCCTTAACAAAGAGGGAACAGACCTCAATTTAAGAGCCCTGGTCGGCAAAACTGTGGTTAGCTGGAATTCAATCACAATGCTTTGTTTCGTATTTATTTCTATTGATAGTGAATAATCTGGTTTGAAATGTATAGCAGCTATAGTCATCTTTAAAATAAAATTTGATAAAAGAATTTATTACATTGGAATTTAAGCTGAGTGATGTGAAACTAATTATCAAACAAAAATTCTTCATTGACCTAAATGTCAAGAAAATGACAGGAATGTATGGTGGAAATAAACCTTAGTCTGGGAATCAAGAATCTTCCATGAGCTGTGCGTGTGATTTTTGGTCACAGTGATTTCATTTTCACTTTTATTAATGAAAGACATAGCTGCTAGCCAGAACTTAGCGTGAGATGGCCGAAGTATGAACATTATTAAGTTACTAAAGTTCTAGTCAAAGGCAAAGAAATGATGTTTTAGTGAGTCTGTGCCAACTTAACATACATAGAAGCTCACAAATATTGAAAGGTCACATGAAGACCCCCATCCTACAGGGGCTTTGGGATGCCAACATGTGGACTAGATTATTTCTATGAGATCTTCCAGTTCTACAATGCTGTGCCAAGTTTTCAATCTGGTGCCAGCAAAAGCAATGATGTGATAGGGAATAATAATGATAGATATTGTATTAAAATCTAATTTTCCTTATCACTACCTTACCTATCAAGTAGGTAGCTGAGAATGAATTTACTTGAAACAGAAATCAGATGCCAAGTATAACCGTTTCCCTTGTCATCTAAATTCTTCTCTCCTAAGAAAGGTTTTTTTCATCAAAAGTTTTACTACACTTTTTTTTGAAGGTCAAAGGAATTGAGGCCTTAACTAGATAAGATGGACAAGGGGAACAGGCTGGTTGGCTTTTGTCGGCTCACCTTTGGTCTTGAAGGGAGGGACTGCCCCTCTCTCCTCTATGGAGCTTCTCCTAGTTGACCTGCCCAAAGAATTTTCTATCTGTGGAATCTCCCTGGGAGCATAATTTCTCTGCCTTCCAGGGAAAACAACAGGGGTTAGGAGAGGAGCTGGTGAGACTGACAGCCTGGGTTCAAATTTCAACTCCTGGAGGGAGCCTCCTTTTTATTTAAATTTTCACATTTATCTAGCACAATGACTCAGTGCGGTTGGTCCAATTTCATGGCTGTTGCTGCTCTTTTCCAAACCTTTGTGTGAGTTAGAAAACACACACCTCTTAACCCAAACCAAACCATACACACACACTCTGTACCCATGAAGCACAAATAGACACCCTGTCCTCAGGGCTGATGCCCCCTCCCAGGTTCCGGCCAGGACAAGCAGAGTGGGGAGAGGATTCAGCACCACCTGCCTCTGTACTTGGTGCTTTTATGAAGGGTTCAACCTACCAACCTACCAGGGTCCTGTGCAGTGACCCTGACAGACATCACCATTTCCTAACCAGAGAAGGTTAAATATTTGTGTTTCAAATAGATCATCCTGGATGTTTTGTACAAAATAGATTGGGAGAGGATGAGGTTGGTTTCAGCAAGTTGTTAAAAGCCTATGGCAGCTGTCCAGGTGGGAAATGATGGGCATTCAGGTGAAATGGGTGGCAGCAGGGATGGTGAGAAATGAACACATTCCAGGGATGTTAAGGAGACAGGTTGACATGTCTGAGGCTGCTGTGAGGATCCAAGAGATGATGATGATGACAGTGCTGATATTAACAATACTATTGACTGAGGGTTTGTGTGTACCAGTTATTTTTATAAGTTATTTGAACCAAAAAAAAAAAAAAAAAGACTACATCTCATTCCTGCATAGTTGCTGTAAGGATCAGAGATCACATAAAGTGCCCAGCCCATAGCAGATCTTTCATCACTGGTAAAAACTGGCCTTTGAAACTCCTATGTTAGTTAAGAAGCCCTAGTTTGTGGACATGGGTGGATGTTGTCGGCAGTGGAACATAATCAAGACAGAGGCTCCGTCACCTTCTAAGCATCAGGTTAGAGTCCTCCTATAACTTTTCAAAGCTACAGATATTCAACCCCACTTCCATTCAGTTAGTCCAAGATACGGGTCTTGGTATCCCTGTTTTAAAAGCTCCCCAGATAGCCAGGGTTGAGAAGCAGTGAAGTTAAAAGAAGTCTTTGGAATCAGACAAATCAGGGTGACATCCCAGCCATGCCCTTCACAGTGGTTTCCCTTGTCTAAGCCTCAGATTTCCTATCTGAAGAAGGAGGATCAAAATTCCCCCCACTCCAGGTTGTGGGAGGATTAAATGAGGTGTTGTGTGCACTCCATAGGACCTCCGGGACATCTCTTTGTATATCTTGCTTAGTGTGGTGTCTGGCCCCTAATGTGGGTTCAATAGATGTGACTGCCATGACTGTGGGGTTGAGAAGCAAAGGAACTTAGTGAAGGCCAGCCCCAGGGGTGAGAACGCTCCACCTGTCACCTGGTCTAAATTGTGCTTGTTTCTTTCACAGATGTGGAAACCCAGGTCCAGTCAGGGAGTAAATAATCTCCCCAATGATACAAAGTGAGAGAGCTGGAATTTGAATCCTAGTCTGTGTCCTTCTGCCATACACCAGGAGTCAAATTCAGGCCATAGCTAACTATTCTAGAGAAAGACTTATTACAGAAGTGATGCTACCGGGGAGAAGAGCCCTTGTCTGTTCTGCTTTAAACTGCTGGGCTGAGCCACACAGTGAAGGGCAGGGGAACAGCTAGAAGCTGTCCAGGGCAGCCCAGAGCTGCTCAGACAAGAGCTCAGTGGTGAGGGCTGGGCGAGGAGGGAAGTGTGCGGAGGAAAGGGGGAAAAGGATCAGAGAGCTGCTGATTTCAGGGTGAGCAGAGAATCACATATTTTGTGTATGGTCAGATTAAGAAATGCAATGGTATATGCCTGCCAATACAATGACTGGTAGACTGTAAGTGTTCAGCAAACATTATTTTACCTTTTTCTTCTTTCAGGGCTGCCTCCTGCCCCCATGGGGAGGAGTCCATCCTCTTCTATGGTATACATCTGTTGGCTTGTTTGTCCATCCTTCCCCTTTCTGGGGACAGCCATGTCCATACAATGTGACCTGTATTAGTCTATTTTGTGTTGCTATAAATAAATACCTGAGGATGGTAATTTATAAAGAAAAGAGGTTAATTTGGCCCATAATTCTGCAGGCTGTACAAGAAGCATGGCGCCAGCATCTGCTTCTGGTGAGGCCGCAGGAAGCTTCCACTCATGGTGGAAGGTGAAGGAGGAGCAGGCGTGTTATATGGCAAGAGCGAGAGCAAGAGAGAGAGCAGAAGGTGTCAGGCAACCAGCTCTCATGTGAACTAATGAGCAAGGACTCACTCATCACCAAGGGGATGGCCTCAGCTGTTCCTGAGAGATCCACCCCCTGACCCAAGCACCTCCCGCCAAGCCCCACCTCCAAGATTGGGGGTCAAATTTTAACATGAGACCTTCGTTATCAATGTTTGTCTATCTACACATCCAAACTAGATCATAACCTTTGGTCTTTGGGAGATTCAGAGGGATGATACACTAGAGAAAAACAGCTCCTTTGGCCTGAGAGATTTTGACTTTCTGCTTTTCATGTGTGTTTGCTTTTATCAAAGAGGGAATCTGCTACTTGCCTGATACAACTGCATTTGGATACTGAACTGGGGCCCAAGGACATCCCAAACCACTGCCTGGGAATGCCAATTTCTCATCATGAATTAGAAATCAACGCTAGCAGCTTCCCTGCTAAGTAAAAAAATTACATAATTCCTTCTGCACCACTGAATTAGGCTGATTTTTTTTTCCTTTTCCTGAATGTACAGTAAATCCCTAGTGGTTTAAGCCATGGTGCCTCTCCTTAAACACAATATGAAACCGCTACCAAATTTAAATAAAAAATAAATTCTGTGTTGTGTTAGGAATCTCTCCTGCCAAAAACTCTCACACAATTAACACACTAGCAGAATGTGTTGCTAATTTCATGCCACTGGAGTCTTTTCTGCTTCAGAATATAGAAACAAAATCAGGTCAGAGCTCCAATAATAACAGGATTTTGTTAAAATATACAGCCCTGTGTTGTAGATATGTTGTAGGAATGGGTGAAAAGGAGACTCACAGTGATGCATGAAATAGCTCACTACTGCAAATAGAAGTGGAAGAACTTGTCTCCAGCTTCTTTGCAGAGAGAGAGGAGGGGAGAGAAAGGGAGAGAGGGAGAGGTAGAGAGAGGGGGAGAGAGGAGAGACAGGGTGGAGAGAGATGGGAGGAGAGAGGTAGAGAGAGAGAGAGGAAGAGAGACAGAGAGAGGGAGCCAGGGAGGGAGAGGAGAGAGAGAGGATGGGAGAGAGGGAAAGAGGAGAGAGAGGGGGACAAGAAGAGAGAGGGAGAAAGGAGAGAGAAAGAGAGAGAGGAGAGAGAAGGTAGGAGAAAGATAGGGAGAGAGAGGAGAGGGATAGGGGGAGAGAGGCAGCGAGGAGAGAGAGAAGCAAGGGACAGGGAGAGATGAGAGAGAGAAGGAGCGAGAGAGAAGAGGAGGGACAGAGAGAGAAGGAGGGAGAGAGGGAGAAAGAGGAGGAGGGAGAGAGATAAAAAGACAGAGAGGAGAGAGAGGTAGAGAGAAAGAGGGAGAGGGGAGAGAGAGATGGAGAGAGGAGAGAGAGATAGAGAGAGAGAGAGGAGAAAGAGAGGCTAGGAGAGAGAGAGGGAGACAGGGAGAAGAGAGAGGAAAGAGAGACAGAGGGAGAGAAAGAGAAAGAGAGAGAGAAGAGAAGGAGGGAGAGAGAGTTAGTTCAGCTCAGTCCAAGCCCAGACCCACTAGGTTCTGTGGGAAAGGGTTTCATTATCAATGTTAGTCCATCCAGACATCCGCATACTTTTACGGGGGAGGCAAACACCAGGAAAACACAAGCCCAGTAAATCACAGCTAGGATTCTGATTCCCCTGGTTCTTTCTGAGGCTTCCTGCCTCCACCTCTTAGCCTTCTTACATTGGGCCTCGTCTTTTCCGTAACAAAAACAGCGATAATGAAAATATTTTGGCAGCATTGAAGGCCTTTCACATCGTGACCCTGACCTCCAAATCAATTTTCTTTATTCTTAACCTGACCTTGGCATCCATTCTCCCTGGCGTTCAATATTAGTTACAAAATCTTGAACTCCCCGAGACCTTCCCTCCTCCCCAGATAACCAAGGCAGGCCACACTGGGGAAGCTCTGGTGAGGACAGGGAGAGAAGGCTTCTTGACAAAGAAAAATCATAACTAGATAAACAAGCCCGATGCCTTCTATAGGAGTCTCATTTGCGCCAAATGCTATTAGCCCCATTATTTACTCAGACAACGGTGCAGGCAGCCTGGGCTCCCTGCTTGCGCAGGGCACTGTGGAGCGCACCATGCATCACCAGCCGGCCCGGGCGCTTCCCTTAAATAGTAATATGTAAGGTAGAGAATGTTACATTTCATCCATCACCCATGGGCTCGCCGAGCGCAGAGACTGGAAAAATTGCGCACATTTCTCCACTGCTGCATTAATACTAGAAGGGGAGTGAACTGAACAGAGAAAGTGCCAATTTCAGCACACATGTTAAAAAGAGAAGCAAAGAATAGCAGAAAAAGAAAGCATCTCCCGGACTGAGATGCTGGGGGGTGGGGGAGGTTTTTAAAGGAGAAGACTGCTTTTCAGAACTCTTGTGCATTGACTATGAGAATAAGGACCCACTGAGACAAGAGTTCGGGGTCAGCATACATTTAGGAGAAGAAGTTGGCTGGCAGGAGCTATTTTTCTGCAAATTAGTTTTCTCTCAAGGGTAACGGTGGGGGAGGAGCAGAGGCAAATGAATTGGAGCCCACTGAATAATTGCGTATTGTTCGGCCGGTTGCGGTGACCTATGAACTGATGCTCCGAGAAGCGTTTTCAGGCCTTCCTTTTATATAGGCCGGGATGGGAAGCCTCTCACAGCTGTTGACGAGTGTCCTGGAGGGGCAACGATGGGGACGGCAGTGTGGCCCCATAAACAATGGTCACAGAGCATCGGCTCCACTTGGCAAGAGAGGCACCGTCTGCTGGTCAGTACAGCTGACCGCAGGACTGGACAGGTGGCCAGGCAGGACGGCGAGAAGAGGCAGGGTTCAAACTTTATGCTGATCACAAAGAACTGAGAAAAGGGGCAAAGTGGAGAAACACAGTGTAGCAGGACGGGATAGATTGACTTTCCTTGGGGATTAGAAGGACCAAGAGCTCTGCAGTGGTTCAAACAGTTCAGTGCAAATGGAATTCTTCTAGGATGTTTACAAAATAAAAGTGAATCAGTTCATCTAAAAGCATTTGTGCTTCATTGTTTCAAGTCCAGATTCTGCCTGGAATGCATAGCATCCTGTTCTTCCTTCAGACATTTTATCATTCTCACTTTGCCATCAGAAAACCCTGCATCATCTAAACCAGGGCTTTTCTGTTCCCTTGAAACACCCGAATGAGATGAACTAAAAGTGCAGAGACTAAGGTGAAGCTGGAAGGGACCCTTCACCAGTGAGAGACTTCTTTGAAGTCTTGTACTTGTTTATCTTTTAAAAAGTACGTAAAACTGATATATTGTGCAGCAGTCTGAAATTTAGTATTATAGATACCATTTTCAATTCCTTTAGCCCCCTCAATTTAGAATTTCATTCTAAGATGAAGCTCAACCTATATCAGATAAAAAAAAACAATCACCAATTTAATGCATATTTTGAGTTTAGGAGGACTCCATCTCAGATATCCAAAACTTATAATCTGAAAAAAAAAATCTATGTCGTAAAAGCAAGAAAATAGGGTAATTATAATCAGGGAAAATGGAAACTTCCAGAAGAAAGAACTAGTTTCATCTTCGGCTCGAGACAAACTGGGGCATACCCCAGTTTGCAAAGCATTACAAAGGAGACAGCTATTGTAAAGCAATGAAAAGTAGACTTTCCTGGTTGTAACTACCTTGTCATTAAATGCCGTGTCTGACCCACTCTAGGGCTGACAGAGCACAGTGTAGTGCCAGGCACATAGCTGGTGCTCAATAAATACTTGTTGAATTGAAAGTTGTTGATAGCGCTCTGCATTCATTTTCCCCTTTAGGTAGCCTGTGGCAGGGTGGTTAACCCCGGGATGGGGACATCTCACAGCCCAGCAGTGGGACAGGCTGTTCTTCCTGGAGGCAAAACAGGCTAGGGCAGCACATGGTCCCTTCCATCTGAGTCTGAGTCTAAGTACACACTCACTTTTCATCTCTGCCACAGACTGGCTGCATGCATGATCGTGGGATCCACTTATCTGGGCCTTCCAACCCTTCTCTGGCAGAAGGAAGCGTCAAGCACCATCTTCTCAAAGGTCTATTTAAAAATTCTACAATACTGTGTATTTAGATTTATAAAGGAATTTTCTTTTTCACCAGTTGCTACCTGAGGGCTGAAGCAAGGGGCAAGATAGGGGAAGATAAATCAGCTCTGCTCTTGTCTCCCCTGTGCCTTCCCAGCTGGAAGGGCACAGAGGACCCTGTGTGGTCCCATCCGCGAGGCTGCCCACCTGGTGCCCTTTGTCCTATCCTGGCAAGAAAAACCTCAGAACTGAAGATATGCTGTAAAGGGTGGTGAAAAGCACTGCAAGTTAGTTACCTTACTACAAATTTACCTTAGATGAGGTAATTCACTAAGCAGGTCGCAGGACTTCAGTGTTACACTCCTCCCACGGGCCCCCTGTAGTCAGTTTCTGGAGTTTGACTTACTTAGTACAGGTGACCACATTCTGGTCAAAGTCAGCAGAGCCATCCTAAGTTAGTGTTCTGTGATATCGGCTCAATGTTTTGTGGTTGTTAAGACTGATTACCTGTTAAAATGACCCAGATTTGAGGGTCAAATATTCAGGAGGAAGAAATGAAAAGAAGCAGATTCTGATTTCAAGATTTCAGGTTTTAAACATCAGGCCTAAATCCATACTTTCATTTTGTTCAGTAAAAAGCAAAGCTGGTGATTCTTAAAATGAAAATGCAGTGTTTTCCACTTGAAGAAATCCCAAACTTGCAAAATTAGATAAGTTAGAG